GAGCTTGTCAGTATCTTGCCTGTGGTGACAGACGCGTGGACCGACATAGAGGACAAACTGTCAAGAACCACACACACACACACACACACACACGTGCATACACATGCAAACACACATCACCACACATGCGCACAGAAACACACCTGTAAACACGTCCACACTCTACCACCAGGCATCTGTGTGGCACTGTCTCTGAGGTGCTTCTGAGGTGTCTCTGGGGTATCCCTGGGGCATCTCTGCGTCTCTGGGGTGTCTCTGAGGTGGGTGTCTCTGTGAGTGTCTCTGGGGTGTCTCTGTGAGATGACTCTGCTCCTTGCTGCTCTGCCCCGGCTCTCCGCAGCTGGCCTGAGGTCACGGCCAGGGTGGGCGTGCCAGGTCAGCCCCGCTTTGGGAAGGACACCATCTGGTTGACAGTGGAGGATGGCGGGAAGTTGTGGGCTTTCTGTCCTCCCTTGTTCACGTGGACATGTGCCGACAGCTTGGTGGGGACAGAGGGAAGGGTGGTGCGTAGGAGCTGCCATCAAGCCGGCCACCCTGTCCACCGACCCTGAGCTTCCCGCCTACTCTCCGCCCCGACCATCGTCCTCCAGTTTGCTCAGCTCCGGGAAGATGTAAGCGGAGCGGACGCTCGTGCTCACTCAGATGTGGTTTCTGGACTATTCTGACCTTTCATAGCCCGTGAACATACTTTCCTGGGTGAGAGTAAAAGCCCAGCCTGCGAACTGACCTCTGGGGGTGGGAGGAAAGGGACAGAGCCCCAGAAGCCACCCCAGCCTGGCCTACTGTGCAAGCTCGCCAAGGCCAGAGCCGGCCCGTAAGACACAGGGCAACTTCTGGGACCTTTGTCCCCGTAGCTGAGCACCTGGGGACGTCCCTGCTGAGGACACTTGTGATGATGTTGGCCCTGAGGTCTCACTGCAGCTCACTCGGGGCCCTGCACTGGCCCTGCTCCCTGCACTAGCCCTGCACTGGCCCTGCACCGTCTTACATGCCCATGGCCTTGTCTGGGTTCCCCGGGAGGGACAGTGAGGCCTGGTGCCTGGTGACTCAAGGGCTCGTAGGGATGGGACACAGGGCGCCTCCCCTGTGACCATGACAGAGCTTCCTGAAGGTATCACCGCATTTTCCAGGAGGGGCAGGGAGTGCTTCCGGGTGTGGTCCCTGCAGGGGCCTGGGATCGGTGACCACAGAGGACCTTGGGATCGTCTGTGCCCACCTGCAGGGCTGAGGACCTGGTGTCTGCCGGCGCGCCGGCCATCCACTCAGCGCTGCTGGGGAGACTTCTCTGTGAAGAGGAGCTGGGCCCGCTGCTCTGGCTAGCAGGAACCCCTTGGTGAGCGCCCGAGAAGGGCCCATGGCCCACCTATCACCCTGGATACCTCTTGAGAAAAACGGTGCTCACACTTCCCCTCCCGGCAGACTCACGGGGCTGAACACCAGCTCACAGACCACGGGGGAGCCCCAGTGCAGGCTGTCACCTGGAATCGGGCGCCGACTTTGCTCTGACAAGTGATGGCACCTCGTGTTTCAGACGCGCACTGATAAGCCGCCCCCGTATTCAGTGCAGCTCTGGTTTTTAGCCAGTGCACAACGCAAAAAAAAAAATAAATAAAATAAAATAAAGCTTTAGGACACCTGGGCTGCTCAGTCGGTGAAGCGTCTGCCTTCCACTCAGGTCAGGATCTCGGGGTCCTGGGATTGAACCCCGCATCCGGCTCCCTGCTCAGCGGGGAGCCTGCCTGTCCAGCTCCCTCTGCCCCTCCCCTGCTCATACTGTCACACTCTCTCTCTCAAATAAGCAAATAAATAAATATATATAGTTTTTACTTATAAAAACGTGGCAGAGCATCCAGAATATACAAGGAACTCCTCCAACTCAGTCATAAAAACAACCAGTTTAAAAGTGGGCAAAAACCTGTCGTTAGCGTTTCTCCAAAGAGGATGTGCACGTGGTCCATGAGCGCACGGAAAGTTGCCCAACCCCAGTCATCAGGGAAATGAAAATCAAAACTTCAGTGAGCTACCACTGTACACTTCTTTTTTTTTTTTTAAGATATTTATTTATTTATTTATTTGAGAGAGAGAACGAGCTGGGAGAGTGGCAGAGGAAGAGGGAGAAGCAGGCTCCCCGCTGAGCAGGGAGCCCGATGCAGGGCTCGATCCCAGGACCCTGAGATCACGACCTGAGTGGAAGGCAGACGCCCAGCCGGCCGAGCCCCCCAGGCGCCCCGACCACCGCACACTGTCTAGCACGGCTATCAAAGCAAAATGGACAACGGGGCACCTGGGGGGCTCAGTCTGAGCGTCCGACTCTTGGTTTCAGTTCAGGTCATGATCTCTGGGTCATGAGATCGGGCCCCATGTCAGGCTCTGCCCTCACCGGGGAGTCTGCTTGAGATTCGCGCTCTCCCTCTGCTCCTCCCTCTGCTTGCTCTCTCTCTCTCTCTCAAATGAATAAATAAATCCTTCAAAAAAAAAAAAAAAAGAATGAATTCGTGAACGTGTGCTCGGTATGGTTGAAGTCTGAGCGAAGTAAGGCAGAAAAGGAGCTCCTGGTTCCCTTTACGTGAACTGTCCAGAGCAGGCCAGTCTACGGAGGCAGACAGTAGACTCGTGGTTGCCGGGGACTGGAGAAGGGGGGGGGTGCTGCTCATGGGGACAAGCTTCTTCTGGGGCCATGAAAAGTTCTAACATTAGATGACGCTGTTGGCCGATAGACTCAAACCATGAAATACACTAACAATACTGGATTGCGTGTTAAAATGGTGAATCTTGCGGCATATGGATTATACCACAAGAAGAAACAGAGAACAGGCCAGCAGTATGGTTGTTTCCTCATCTGCTCCGTGGAGACAGCCCTGCCCATGCCTGGAGCTGTGGGGGCAGGGATAGCGAGGGGAGCCACCCCCCGGGGGCCGCGTGTGGGGGTCTCCTGTCCCCGCATGCAGGATGAGGGCCAGCCCTGTGTATTGGACACCTCCCTACAGCCTCCTGCCGTCCCCGAGCTTCTGGAGACTCATTCCGCAGACAGGAAGCAGCGAGGAGGCTAGCGTCTGGGCTCAGGATTCTGACGGGAAGAGCTGGGATTTGAATCCCGGCCAAGGAGCTCGGGGGTGGCTGCGTCCAATCCTTGCCTCACCTCCCGGACTCTGCCTTCAATTAAGTTTTGGGCCCAGAAGTGCCCCACCCCTTGTGATTAAAGCCACTCACTTCCAGGGCCAGCAGAGACTCCGGGGATCCCACATAGGGGCAGACACCCCCCGACCCCGGGGGCCAGAGGGGACTCAGGAGCCGAGCTGGACTCAGAGGCAGCAAATATTCAGGACCACAGTCCCCTGTGCAAAGCCGGTATTTCTGCCAGCGTGGGGCCTGCAAGCCTGAATCTGCCCCCCCTCAGCAGACCAAGGGCCCCAGCAAGTCACAGAGCCCGTGTCCCCCACCGTCGCAGCGCAGGATAAAGCTGACACCGACCCGGCCGCTAGAGGGCAAGGTGTAGTTTGCAAAACGCTTCATAAACGTCAAGTACAAGGATGTATGGAGTGAAGTATAATGTGCGGCAATAGGCTGATGGGAGATGGGAGGTCAGGGTTGAATAAGGGGGTTCTAGCTCCTTCCTCATCCTGGCCCGTCACTCAACCCCTCTGACCGGATCTCAGGATCCTGCAGCCCCAGGAACCTACCGGGCAGCCACCACCGTTCTCTCGGGATGCTGGAGAATCCGTGTCTGGCTCTGGGCCTTCAGCATGCACTGCCCCCCAGCAGGGCAGGACCCCCAAATGTTGCCAGGTGGTGCGTGAGGCACCTCCCTCTGGGCTCCACGAAGCCCTGCCCTCAGCGGGGCAGCCAGGCGGTCGTGGAGAATCTGGAAAGGAAGCAGGCCGGGCTGACCACTTCCGGCGAGCCACATACTGGAAAGGGAATTTACAACCGGCCGGAGCACCTGCCGTCTGGAGCCACTTAGCATCTCCGACCCCAGCGGACCTCAGCACCCTTCACAGCCGGCTTACTCTTCAAGAGAACAGCTGGCTTGTCCCGAGGCCACCAGCGCCGGGGACAGATGCTGGAGAGGGCTATGTGGGGGCGTCCAGGGGCCTCCAGGCTGGACTCTGCAAGGAGGTGACTCCCCAAGTCCCCAGCAGTGACCAGGGGAAGCCTCGGGAGCTGTGAGCCATTCAATGACACACTCGACGGCCATGATGGACAGTCGCCAACCTCCCTCCACATCAACAGGGCACAACGAGGCCATGATGGCACCCAAATTTGGTGTGTCCCAGTGGGGAGGGAGCAGCTTTGAAAGCCAAAGGGCTGTCTATAGAGTGACAAGAGTCAGTGGAGGTGGCAAGAGGGCAGAGGGCAGGGCTGGGGCATTGCAGGGTCAGAGGATCTGGAGAGGAAGGGGGGTTGCTGGCGAGACGGAGTGGAGCTGTGTCCACTCTGGCCTTTCTTTGGCTTCTGAGATGCCCCAGACACAAGGTCCTGTCCTAGACGGTGGGAGGTCCTGGCTTAGAAGTCCCCGAGGTAGGGTTCCTGGGGTCTGGGATGCCCACCTCCAGCAGGGACACAGCCAACAGCTGGGACAGTGTCTGTCCCAGTGTGTGCTCAGCCATAGCCCTGCCCAGGGGGTGGCCTTGGGACCCACAAGCTTCCCCAATAGTCAATTGGCCCAGTGGCCATTCCCCCCCACAAGGCAAGGAGCACCCTTGGCGAAGCAAGGAGCCTTAGGGGAGGGGAATTGGTGGGGGGAGGAGAGACCTCAGCTGTGGGAGGAAGAGCCTGGGACGTGAAGGGCACAATTTCTGCTACGACGGTGGACTCCACCGCCAGCGGGTCCACAGGCTAGGGCCCCGGGGGGAATGCAGTCTTGCTGCCCCACCAGACTGGGCTCCCAGGCCTTCTCCTCCAGTTCAGGACCCCTCAGGGGTCAGCAGAGGACGTGGGGGTGACATTTGCCAGGTTGCTGGCCGCTGTGCGGACGTCCACCCAAAGACACAAGTCTCACAGACACAGAGAAGCCTTTATTGCAGGGCGCACGGGTGTCGGGCGTGGGGCTGGCCTGGAGGGCTGCCCGGGTGCGGCGGGCCAGGTCAGCTGCTCGGCCAGAGGAGCGTGAAGGTACCGCGGCTGCAGCGGAAGTCCGGCTCTGGCTGCTCGGGCTTGGGCTCCACCGAGACGAGGCGACGGGCCCCGCGCTGGCTCAGAGGGATGCAGTCGGAGACGCGGACCTCCAGGGCCCTTCCCTTCCTGAAGCGGGGGCGGGTGGGCAGGGAAGGAGACCGGTCAGCGGGCGAGGGGGGGCGGTCTGGGGCGCGGAGGTGCAGGAGGGCAGTCAGGAGCCGGGTGGGGGGCGGCCGGGGGTGGGACGGGGTGTCAGGCGCGGGACAGAAGGGCGGCCAGGGGGCGGGGCGGGGCCAGTGCCGCAGGGCGCGGACCCGGCGGCGCCCGACTCACCCCTGGCAGTGCGCGGCCAGCACGCCCACCAGCTCCCCCACGCGGTTGTCCAGCGGCGGCCTGCAGCGGTGCAGGCACACCACCAGGTCGTCCTGGCCGCGCGCGTGCAGCACCACCAGCTGGTCCCGGCCGCTGGTCACGCTCAGCCCGGTCACCTGTGCGGCGCGCCAGGGCCGGGGTCAGGGGAGCCGCAGGCGCTCCTCCTCGCCCCGGCAGTCTCCCGGAGCCCGCCAACCCCCCCCCAGGCCCCCTTCCTCCCTCTCCAGCTCCACCCACAGATGCGCCGGCCGAGGCGCTGCTCCAGAGAACGAGCTCCGGGACGGAGTGTTCGTCGTCCGCGCTCTAATCCGGCGCCACCGCCCTCCCGGGGCTCCCGAGCTCGCCCGGACATGCGGGTGCTTCCGGGGCGCTGAGCCTTCTGCTTTCCCCCCAAGACGTCTAGCGGACACACAGGCGTGGCCGGCGCCCCAGACAGACCCCCACTCGGTTCCGGGGACCCCAGGGAGAGACCGCTGCCCACGGCAACGGTCTGCATTTGGGCGGGAGCCCCCACCCCCACCCCCCGCTCGCCACCACGGATGTGGGAAAGAGGGCCCGTGGCTCAGCGCCCTGTCCGCCCTGAGCAGCAGAAAGGCCCAGCATCCTGAGCTGATGCTGGGTTCTAGGAAGCTGGGGCATTCTTAGGTAGGTGCGAGTGGAGACGCCCCCACCTCCCCCCACCCCCGGGCTCACCGCTTCCAGGGGCACAGCCCGCATCACCCGGTACTGGCGGCCGGGGTCCAGCTTGTAGACGTGCTGGTCAGTGAGCAGAAGCGCCCGGTCCCGCCTCTTGTTGAAGCGGTTCACCTGCGGGACAGGCGTGTTCAGGCTCACCTGGCCAGCCTCCTCTCCCTGGACCCCTTTTCTCACGGACTGGGTTGGATCTGACCACTTCGGAAACCTCTGCCCTGGGCCTGGGCTGGGGCTGTTGCTCCTTGCCCAGATGCAGGCCTCACCTTCCGGACATGACTGGAGAACAGCACGGCCCCAAAGCTGTCCTTCTCACGGAGGGCCTTCAGTCGCTCCGCGAACAGGCCCGAGGCTGTGGGGTTGTCTGTGGCCTGAGGACAGATGGGAACTGCTTGGCCACACTGGACCGACAGCAAGTCTGATAAGTGGGCACAGCTGTCCCTCACCTCACGAGCCGAACCGAGTCAGGCCTTGTGCCAGCCTCCCTGGCTCGTCTGAGGGCCCTGCGCCACACCCCTGCAGCTCTAGCTTCTGGTCATGCCTGAGCCCACCATAGCTGCCCACCAGAGTGGAAGCTGAGAAGGCAGCGTCCGGGGTCCAGGAAAGCCCTTCAGCCCCTGAGCCTTCATCCCCTGTAGAATGGAGCCAGGGGCACGGCTCACTGTGCCTGTGTGAGGGCCGGGGGAACTAGGGCATGGGTGCAGGTTGTGGAGGGGGGTGGGGGGCGCCTCTACCTGACACACATGGAGAAGAGGGAGGGGCAGAGAGAAGGTGCTCAGTAAAGCCCAGAGGCCAGGGGCAGAGGGGCATGGCCCACAGGCTGGACAGACAGCCAGGCCCAGGGAAAGGACGTCTGGGATGGACACCGGTAAGGTCTCAGCCCTGAGCCCCTCCTTGGTGCCCAGACTTCATGGCCCCAATACTCACAGAGGACAAGTAGTCCCTGACCCAGGCCCGACGGCAGCCCCAGTCCTGCCGTAGCTCCTGTAGGACCGTCATGGCCGCCACCTTGGCCTTGATCTGGGCCATGTCTGAGGGTGGGATGTTCTTCACCAACTGCCGGGCCCGCCACCTAGAGGGAACCTGGCGGTCAGAGGGACCTCGTGCAGCCCTCCCCTTCCCCACCCCTGTCCTGCTTCCCTTACATCCATGCCCTTCTCTTGCTTCCCCTCCCCCCAGAAGGCCAAGCCTCTCTGCCTGGCCCTGGCTGTCGGGCTTTCCCCTCCCCCCGGTGGGTAGGATGTGGCCCCGCCCACTCTGTGCCGCTCCTCCTGGAGAACTACTTCCTGGCCTTCAAAGTGCTGCTCAGACGCACTGTTCCCCCAGGCCCTGGTCCCAGCCAGCCACCCTCCCCTGCGGGCCTCCAGCAAGAAGCTGGCAGGGCTCTGCCGTGACGGTGGGGTGTGGGGATCCAGTTACTAGGCACAGCCTCCTGTTTTCCTGCTTATGAATGGGGCTTGTGGGGTGCAGACGGCTGCGTGCAGGTCGCAGGCGGAATGGGGAGAAACGGAGGGGCAGTGGCTGGGGCCCGCACCTGCAGAACAGGGCCTGGCAGGTGTCCTGGAACGGCTGCAGCACCGCGGGGGGCGGCGGCCAGATGAGGTCCCGGCCATAGAGCGGGGGCTGCCTCGCCGCCTGGAACCGCCGCTGCAGCTCTGCCAGGTGAGCGCGCACCTTGTGCCTCCGGAACCAGCGCATGATCGTGTAGACGGCCCGCAGTCGCCGACAACGCTGCCTGGCCAGCGTGCCACGCCAGGCCTGGGGGGCCAGCCGGGCTTTCCGTCGGTCTCGGCCAGGCCCCGCCCCCCCCCCCCCGCCTCTCTCCCCCCCCCCCCACCCCTGCGGCCCGCCCACCTCCCCCACCCTCCAGTCGGCGTGGGGCCAGTCATGTGTGCCCGTGACTCCTGGGGGCCACCTCCACCTGGCTGCAGGGTGGCTTCCCAGGTGGGCACAGGGCCCTGCTGCAGTCTCCGCCTAACTCCTGGGAGAGCAGCGCTCCCTATTCCATGTCCTTCTGCCTGGCACCCGCAGACGGGGGCACTTTCCCCTCGCCGGGGACAGCTGCGAGCTGTCCACCTGGAATCTGCGCTGGCCCAGGTCTGACCTCCAACTCGTAGAGGCCCTGACATAGAGGGGTACCCCAAGAATACAACCATTAAAACCCAGACTGGAAACCCTACACGGCAGGGAGCCCAGGGGACCCACAGATGAAAGCAGATGTGAGGAACCTGACTCAGCCCGGGGACAGGATGGCAGTGCAGACGGTCCTGGAAATGGTGCGGCCACGAAGACCCAGTGTGAGTGTCCCGAGTCCCATTTCTGTGACCATGGCATGGTGTCGTGTCACAGCTAAATGCGGGGTCACCACGGGTAATAGTGGGACGCTGAGGAAATTCGAATACGGCCTGCGTATTGTTCAGATATGTAGACTTGTCTAGTCAGTGTTAGGGTTCTCGTCTGCTGACCTCAGCATGGTCAGAAAAGGGAACGTACTTGTCCTTGAGATGTGTGCTGAAATACGGAGTGGCCCCATTACTGGTATGGTTCAGGAGATCATATAAATGTACCTATACATGGGTGTGGGGACAGACAGATGGACACACAGAGCTGGGGTGGGGGAGTGCACCACGGCAGCAACCCGGGTGGATAGTGAGTCATCACAGGCATCTCTGACTTTTCAGTCGGTTTGAAACATTGAAAATAAAAAGTCACCGGGAGAGATGGAGGAATTCCTCCCATTCCTCCCATCCCCCCACCCAGTGCACACCCCTCTCTCCCCTTCCCCTCCAGGTATATACCCCTCCCTCCCTCCCCCCCTTCACCCATCCCCCTCCACCCTCCATTGTAGGTAGGCATCCAGCCAGGCCGCACCTTCTGCAGCAGCAGCACGATGATGGGGATAAGGCGTGCACGGCTCTGCTCCAGCGTGACCAAAGTCTGAGGCGAGCGGATGAAGAGCTTGGTGTGGCCAAAGGCCACGTCCCCTTGCAGCCCGTGCTGCTCCAGGAGGGCACTCACGGCTGCCTTGTCAGAGCCCAGCAGGTGATTGGGCCATGTGTACTCACAGGTCATCTTGTACCTGTCACCACAGGACAGGGCAGTGGGCACCGAGCTCTGGGGAGAGGTGGGGAGCTACCCCAATCTGATCCCATCCCACACACCCAGCCCATGCCACCCCCACGTGCCACTCACCCTAGCACCTGCCCACCCCATCCTGTGTCACACAGGGGTCCTTGCTGTTCGTGTCGTGTGCGTCTGCAGCTGAGAAGCACTGGCTGGGTTTGGGACCCTCTGGCCCCCCGTCTAACTCCTCACAGGACTCTGGCCCATGGGAGACACACGGGCAGGGAGATGCAGCTCCGGGGTAGCAGGGAGTCCTACCTGAGCAGGAATCGGGGGTAGGGCTGGCGGGAAGCGAAGCCCGCCCTCCGGACCCGCACATTCTCCAGCAGCCCCAGGTACGCGACCTGATGGCGACAGTGGTCCTCGTCCAGCCTGGCAGCCACCTTGTCCTCATTGGGCTTGATGCAGCGGACATAGAAGGGCTCCTGCCACAACAGAGGACACTCAGAGCCACCAGCATCAGCCTCCGTGGCGGCAGGGCAGGTGTGCAGCTGTCCTCCCCCTGCCGGCTGCCAAGGGAAGAGGCTCTTGCAGGGGGAGGGGGGCGGAGGGGCCGGGTCAGGAGGTGGTAGGGCAGCCCGGAGCCGTGTGGACCTGCAGGGGCCAGGCTGAGTCTCCGGATGTTCTGTGGTTAAGCGGGCTCTGGTGTCCCCCTGCTACCCGCTCTGCCTTCCAGCCTGTGAGCCCCACCCAAGAGGCAGGGAGGAGCTGGGCGGGCTGGTTCAAACCTCACAGTTACTCCAGCTTCAGCCTGACCCAGAACATCTGAATTGGAAGGTGCTGGGCTCCCCCCGCTGGAGTGGGGGTGGGGGAGCAGCTGACAGGAAGTGACCACCTTCCCCGTGATGTGCAGGGCGGTGGGCGCCCAGGATGTCGGCCAGGCACAGCCGAGAGGCCCCTTGCAGATGTGGGGGGGGGGGCATACCTTGGAGGCCAGGTTTTCCACCAGAGACACCATGGAGTTCTTGAAGAGCGTGCCTGCGGTCAGGGGGCGCTTGGTCACCTCTGTGATGTCCTGCTGCCCATCCGGCCACATAGCCCGCAGGGTGGGGTCCGAGCTGTGGACACAGGCCACATCGCCAGGCGCCCTCTGGAGGGCGGCCCTCGCCCCAGCTCTGCCACTGGTGAGCCTTGCGGCCTCAGCGTCAAACCTCAGGCAGTCAGCCCACCAGGCAGGTGTCAGACCCGAGTGTGCGAAGGCCCTTCCAGCCTCGGGCCCCCACGCACCTGTTGTACATCAGCCGCTTGAAGTCTTGGAAGAGGTGGTCTCTGTTCTTGTCGATGAAGCCCTCCACTGAGTACCTGGGGGACCGGGGCTGGTGAGGGGCGGGGGGTGTCCGACGGTCCCCAGGAAGCCCCTCCCCCACCCCTGTTCTCCTGGGTCGGCCTCCCTCCCTCCCCTCCCACACCAGCTTTCTCAGCACGTTCGACTGCCGCCCTCAGAGCTGTCTCTCCGGGAGCAGGAGTTGGCGCTCGTGCCCACTGCACTGGACCCTGGCTCTCGCACATTCGTGCGGTGTGACCTGGGACCAGGGACTTAACCTGTCTGTGCCCCAGTATACACCACAGGCCCAGATCAGTGCCTACTGAGTTTAGGGAACTCCTGAGGCAGGAGACTGCTTTGATTGTGCGGCACTGAGAACCTCGGGGTCCTTGTCTTGCCCTTTGATGACAAAAGGCGAGAAAACTTGGTGCCAAAATCTTGCCACACCTGCAGCTCCTGTGCAGACTCAGGACACGGGGTCTGACCTCTGGGTGCACTGTCCTCTCCACTTGTCCTTGTAAAGGACACATGAGACACGTGTGTACTCTGTGAGTCACCTCAAGTCCCATTCGGGAGGAGGGGAGCACAGGAAAATTAACAGTAATGTCACAGAGATTTCTGGAGGACTCCTGAGGATGTGCCCCAAGCATGGGCAGCTCCTGGCTGGGGGGAGCTTGCTGGGAATGCAGTCCGTGGTTTACCTGTCCCCTACCCCCCAGCTAACCCGCACTGCCATAACAGTGTGCCCCTCACCCAGGCACTCCCCAAAGTGGAGCCTAGATATGGGCATTTTTTTAAAGCTTCCAGAAGCTTCTATGGTGCACCCAGGGGCCAGAGCTCTGATCTTAAAAGCTCCATTTCACGCTTTCCACTTGTGAATCTGGTGTCAGGCACATCTTCAGCTGCTAAGAAGCGGGGAGGGTCTTACGTGACGTCCCCCGCATAGTGCTTGATCCGGAAGTCTCGGCCGAACTCCATGGTCTTGTCTGTGGGGCACAGCTGGGGGATGGGGGCGGGCCAGGGTCAAGGCACAGGGCGGGGGTCCGTGCAGCAGACAGTGCTGGAGAGGAGGCCAGGCCCCGCCAAAGTGGGCAGCACCGTGCCTGGGCAGGGGGGGCGGGGACCAGTGCAGGGACCAGGCTGTGGGTGAGGGCCGGGGCAGGGGAGCACCTGGCGGCTGGTGTAGTGGGGGTGGTGGCGGTGGTGCGTGTCCAGGCTCTGCAGGAAGATGCGGTCGGTGATGGTGCCCGCGGCGCTGCAGGCCTCGTCCAGCACAGCCAGCACGCCCCGGTGGGGCCGCTCCACCAGCTCCACGATGGTGGCGTTGTTGAAGTAGTCCACCTGCGTGGGGGGTGCACGGCGGCTCCCAGTCTGCCCGCGCATCTCCCCGCGGCCCTGGCGCCCCCGCCCGCGAGGCCCCGCTGGCGCTCACGCTCTGCCAGGTGATGCCCTCACGCTGGTACTCCTCCTGCTCCTGCTTCAGGATGAGCTGGATGAAGAGCTGCTGCAGCTTCTCATTGCAGTAGTTGATGCACAGCTGCTCAAAGCTGCGGGCGGCGCCGGGGCACAGTCACGTCCTGCCCGCAGGGCCGGGTGCCGGGGCAGGCCCCTCCCTGAGAGCCCCACCGTGGGGGTGGTCCTCCCGCTGTGGCCCCAGCTCTGACACGCATGCTCCACAGTGGATTTGGTGGTCACGGCCAGGGTACGTGAGCCCCCAGTTTGCCTTCGAGGGCACCGCTGGACAGGGGGCACAGCTAGAGCAGGCGTGGGGCCTGAGCCCGGGGCTGGGGACAGGCCGGGACAGCTGCCGGAGGTCCTGCTCCCCAGCCCAGCAGAACTCTGTGGGACCAAGGTGGCCCTAGGGTTTGGGGTCAGAGCTGGACACGTGGTGGCCGGGCTCCCCACCTGTTGACAGGGAACACCTCGAAACCGTAGATGTCCAGCACACCAATGACAGTGTCCTTGCCGTCTCGCCGGGGGTCCCGGTCCCGGGTTTCCATGACACTGTTGATCCGGCTCACCACCCATTCAAACAGCCGCTGGTACACTGCCTGGGGGGAGGCCAGGAGCCAGCTCCTTCGGGCTGTCTCAGTCCTTGCCCCCTCCAGGAAGGCCCCCTGGGTGTCCCCGTCTCGCTCCCCACAGCTTGCCCCCAGAGGACCTTGGCACAGGCATCCCGGGCGTAGCTGGCCTCAGCTGCAGTGTGGCCCTTCTCAATGAGCTCCCTGCCTCCCGAGGCCACCGTGCGAGAGAGCAGGCAGCGCAGCACCAACTCCCGGGGCGTGGCCGTCAGCTCAGCCACGTGGTCTACCAGCCGCTCCTCAGCCACCTCCAGGTGCCCCTGCTCCAGCCCGGCCTCCTCCGTCTCCACGAACTCGATGTTACCCTGGGGATGGGGAGCCAGGACAGTCAGGCTCCAGGTCCCAGCAGAATTTGCCTGCACACCTCTGCCGGGGAAGAAGGAAGGAACGGCAGGGCTGGGGGTGTGGCGGGACCTGGCTTCTGCCCCGGTTGTGGGAACGGCCCCGGAAGCACAGCAGAGTCTTCTCCAAGGCTTCCTGCCCAGAACATCAGGTCCGTGGTCCCACGGCCACTGCCTGCAGCCACGAGGCACTCCCTGCTCTCAGGCCGCCTAGCAGGGAAGGGAGGCTCAGCAGCGGTGGAACCGTCCGGCCGGACCGCCGGTGGGAGAGGCAGGACACGTCTGCACAACGGCGCTACAGAGCTCCCAGCTCCGGGCCGGGCCTCCGGGAGCTCCGCCACGCATTCAGCCTCCCCGGGGGCGGGATGGGCCAGCCGCACGACTGGGCCCACGGAGCTCAGTCTCCCTCTCCAGGGGCCCCGCAGCCCCGGCCAGGCTCACCAGGTGCAGTACGGCCGCCAGGATCCGGTGCACGGATCGCACTTCCTCCGCACTGAAGCCGATCACCCGCATGGCCTCCACCACGGCCAGGTAGTGGCTCCTCTCGTCGCTCTCCAAGGCCTGTGGGACAAGGGGCTCCGCACTCCAGGGCCACGCGGGGCCTCAGAGTCCTCCCAGGGAGTGCCTGTCACATTGGGGCCCAGCAGTCCCGCTGAGCGCCCGCGGAGCCCTGCCCCCACTTACGCTGAGCCCCGCGCCCTGCCGGGTGAAGTTGTACACCGCGGGGTTCCTCTGCAGGTGCAGGTTCCGCAGCTCTGCGTCCTCACAGCCCCGAAGCACCTGGGAGCCCACAAACCCCTGCCTCAGGCCCTTAGAACTGCAAACACCCCGCCTAAACAAGCCGGAGGACCGACCGACAGACCGATGGAGGGCTCAGTGCTGGTGTGGACCCACCCAAGTCGAGGCAGACCGCCGCTCACCCAATGTAGACACCACCCTACTGGTGTCCCGGGAAAGTCCCCTCCAGTGAGGGCGGGGCACTGGCAGTGTCACAGCAGGGAGGAGCAGAGAGGGAAAGGGACGGAGGGCAGGGCGATGGGAAGGGCTTCCCAGGCACCTCACACACCTGCTTTGGCTCACCTGGTAGAAGGCGTGGAAGTTCCGTTCACCCACGTGCTGCTTAAGGACTCGAGACTGTGGAGGGAGGGGCAGCTGGGCCCTTGCCTGGGTTGCGACCCCACCCAGGGAACCCCACCCAAGGGAGCCACCCAGCCCCTGGTGCAGTGCAGGCAGAGGGGCTCAGGCAGGCCTGGCACAGAGGAGCCCCACCTACAAGCCTGGGACCTCAGAGAAAGTGCCCCCGCCCCACCACTGGGGACCCAGGCCTAGAAGGGCCAGCACGTGAGGCCTGTGGCTGCAGGGCCCACCTTCTCCAGCAGATAGCTGTGGATGTGCCCCCCGATGGGGTCCCCTTTAAAATCGAAGTTGATGTCCATGTACTTGCCAAAGCGGCTGGAGTTGTGGTTGCGGTTGGTGCGCGCGTTGCCAAAGGCCTCCAGCACGCACGTGGACTTGAGCAGCACGTCCTTGACCCTGTGCGGGGCAGAGGGGCCGGGCGGTAGGGCACAGGCCTCCTCCGGGGACTGTCCCTGCCCAGCATTCCTGCCCGAGGCCTCCCACTGCGCAGGCTGGGGACCAGGCTGGGGACCGGCTGGGAAGGCCACCTGCCTGGGCTGTGCAGGGGTGTGGCGAGAAGGGCTGCTCCTCTCCTGGGTGTGCTGCCGCTTGCAGGGAGCAGCTGGAGCCGCACACTCTGCCCTCAGCCTCCTCCGCAGGGTGGGCAGCCGCCAGCCGCCTGTGCCCCACCCAACCCTACCTCGCCCCTCCCGACAGGAAGAGCCTGGGCACTCACACAGGAAGCTGTGCCCACGGGACCCCACTGGTAACAGCTGGCAAGCAACTGGTGAGGAGGCAGACAGGAGGGCCTCGATCTGGGTCCAGGCCCTTCCTGATCATCCTGCCAGCTTCTCCCCTCTGTGGGGTCTCCCAGAAGGGGCACAGCCCCCGTCTGTCGGCCCTGTGCACCTTGCCTCTTCCCTGCTCCTTGTGGCGGCACCCGCCCCCACCCGTGGCACCGGGCCCTGCCTCTGCTAGGTGGATGGGTTCTGGGCGGGTCACCGGCAGAGGAGCCCTCTGAACTTGGCCGGAGACAGGCTGACTTAGATCTCTCTCCCCTTCAGGCCTGAGGCCCAGGGCCGGCCCTGCGCCAGCCCTGCCCACTCTCACCTGTCCACCTCAGCCCTTTGGCTGGGGTTGGTCACGGCCGCAATGTACTGCATGATGTGCTTGCTGGCCTCTGTCTTCCCTGCCCCGCTCTCCCCTGCCGGACAGACGGATGGATGGATGGTCAGCCGGAAAGGGTGGCCGCTCCCTTGACCAGCCCCGGGCGCCCCCTGCAGGATGCAGTCGGGTGGGGCAGGCAGGCCCAGACCGGTACCTGAGATGACAATGCAGGTGTCCCTGGAGCGGCGCTTCATCGCCCTGTAGGCGGCGTTGGCCACGGCGTAGAGGTGTGGCGGCCGCTCATAGAGCTCGCGGCCTTGGTACTTGGCGATGGCCTCAGGCCCGTATAGGGGCAGCTCCTGGTAGGGGTTCACTGACACCAGCACCTCGCCGATGTAGGTGTAGATGCGGCCCTTCTCGAACCTGGCACAGGAGGGCCGAGCCTCAGCGCTCAGGGCTGTGGGGGCACACCCCAGGTGCTGGGGCGCTGGGCCCCTGTTGGGAGTCTGGGGGGGTCCCTGGCCCACCGCAGGGCTGAGAGTGGGAAGGAGTGCGGGTTGACCTGACACTTCCCAGTGCCATCTTGCCGGAATCTCACCCCCAATGCAGGGTAGTGCTGGGGCCCACGCTACTCCCTGGGTGGTGGTCAGGCCCCACCTGGGTGGGGGGGAGACCTGTCGGAGCAGGAATCTCCAGCACCTGATTTTTGAAGGGACAGGTAGAGCCGAGGGCTGGAGGTGGAGGAGAGAAAGGTCTGGAGGCCCAGGGAGGGGCCTCGGGCTATTTCCTGTCTTGGGGCCTGGGTGGGGACCCAGAGGCAGCAGGGAACCCCGCCCGGCCCCACCCAGGTGGCTGGGACCAGGCGGGGCACAGGGAGGGGGCTTGGGGATGCAGGGGCCGTCCTCCCCCTGCATATCCTCCTACTTCTCCACCCTTCCTTTCGGGAGCTCTGGCTCCTGGACCTGGGTCTGTCCATCTCTTGACCTTTCTGCCCTGGAAGTTACGCCTGCCAGCCCGCTCAGCGCCCCCTTTGTCTGGGACCCGCCCTTCCCTGGTGGCTTGTGGTCCGTCCCCTGTCAGGGGTTCCTCTTCCTCTGCTACTGCCTCGGACGAGGGAGTTCCCCCCCCGCCCCGCTCGGCTCCCTCCACACCCTCTCTCGTCTGCCCCGGGACTGCCCCCTGCATGCCGCCAGGGCTCAGTACTCCGTTGTTAAAAAGGACATGGTCATGCCTGTCTCACAAGCTAGTGTAGAAGAACGATGTGAAATTACGCTTAGCTTCCCCCCCATACAAAATAGCCCATTTCCTGTCTTCTACCTTCAACAATGTGTGCTCAGGGGGCCCCATCCCCTAACCCTGTGCTCCCGCTGGCTGTCCGGGATAAAGCCATCCCGCTCCTGGTGGCCATCCCATCTCACCATCCCTTGGCTCCTCCAGGGCAACCAGACCCCATGTCACTTCTACCAGCCACGCCCTGGGGCACCCCATGCACCCCCAAGTGTCATCTCAGCTTGTCCAGCTGCACCCCGGGACAGCGCCTGTCCCCTTCCCTTAGAGCCCCCAGGGCACAGCACTACCCCCAGTGGCAGATGGACAGTGCACCCAGTCAGCGGGGCTGGCTCCTGCCTGTCCCCGCTGGGCAGGAGGAGCAGAAGGCACCCAGGCCATGACGGGGGCAGGGGTCTGGGAAGCCCGCTGCAGCACTGGCTGGCCACCCTGGCCTTGGGAGGCGGGTCCCGCCCCACCAGGACCCCCTGCTGTCACCCACACAGTGGTGCAGTGGGTGTGTGTACTCTGTGTGCGGCCCCACCTCAGGCTCCCACCCTGGCCTGATGGAGACCGGGGAGCCTGGGGGCCGGGGAGAGGGAGCCCGAGCCCTGCGTCTACCTGAGTTTTAGGTTCTCCATGAAGTCCTCCATGGTCACTTGGTCCAAAAGCACAAAGTCGGGTTTGCCGCACTCGGGGCCCTCCTCGTCCATCCTGCCAGCGGGAGCCCCCTAGGCGGGGTTGCCCCAATATTCCTCTGCAGAAGGGTGGAAGGGAGGGTGCTCTGAGCAGGCTCAGCCCTCCCAGCCGCCTCCCCAGCCGTGCAGTGAAGTAGGAAGTGGGTTCTGGTCCCAGGGAGGGGCTGCCCTCCCGGCTTGCCGCTCCCTCCGGAGGGGCTCTGACCCCTGGCTTCCTGGTTCCCGCACCCCGAGGGCAGGCGCGCCTGAGAGACCAGGCGCCCGGTGCTCTGGCGGGCTCCTGCTGGCATCCCCGGTAAGTTCGGAGCCTCTGTGGTCTCCACACCCGCCCCTGACCCCAACCAGGCCCAACCAGGGGCGTCACCTGTCCCAGCTACCAAACCTCTGTTAACAGTCGGAGCTCCGAACTAGGGGCAACACGGGCTTGCTACTTTGTATCTTGATAAAAAGTGGGCCTTTGGGGCGGGGCCCCGGGTAGCTTCAACGTGTGCAAGACCATACCAGGATGTAAATGACAAAACCACCCTCCCGTCACTGTCACACTGCACCGCAGGGTTGGCGGTCTGGTTCCTCAGACAGATTTGGAGTTGGCTGCAGCCCCAGGCCTCTGGATGTCACCGGGAAGGCTGCCCCTGACGTCCCCCAGCCTGTCCCACTCTGCTCTCACGGCCCCATTAGAAGCCGCAGACTGGCTGGCTCAGATTTGTCCCCAGACAGCCTCCTTGACCCCATGCACCCTCCAAGCAGGCACTTCTCTCTCAACACCCCTGGGGAGGCCAGAGCATTTGGCAAAAGTGAGTCATCCACATGCTGCTTTGGGGAACCCGCACTCAAGAGCCAGCGTAGTAATTATCTTTCTTTTAAAGATTTTATTTATTTATTTGACAGACAGAGATCACAAGTAGGCAGAGAGACAGGCAGAGAGAGGAAGGGAAGCAGGCTCCCCGCTGAGCAGAGAGCCCGATGCGGGGCTCGATCCCAGGACCCTGGGACCATGACCTGAGCCGAAAGCAGAAGCTTTAACCCACTGAGCCACCCAGGCGCCCCAGTGATTGTCTTCCAATGAGCTCACTTCTTAAAACTCAAAAACATGGACACATGAGGGTTTTTGCCCTTCAGATTATTAGGATGGATACACACCCAGTAAGACCGGGATGTGCTTACTCCACAGCCTGATGATCCAGGCTGTGCCCTTGCACCCCATCCTCTGGGGGGCTGTTGGCCCGACCCTTCCCTCAAGGTCCAGTCATCGTCCCAGCTCTGGGGATCCCCTCTGCAGCTGGTGCTTTTGAAGGGCTTTTCCACACCAGCGCTCCGGAGCATCTGGTCCTGCGGTTTTACTTCCCCAGCCTCCCAGCCAATGGGGTCCCCCAGCCCCCAGCTTCAACTGAGAGGAACAACTCAGCCTGTGTGGTGAAACCTCAGCCTGATACAGTTTTCACGTCACTGGATGGCTTCTGGGTTTTTTCTGGAAGAAACGTCAAGACCTTCTGAGGTTGGGGATTTGGCCCCTGGGCGGAGCTTGGCTTAAGGCACGGCCACCCCGTGACCTAGACCCTAACTGCAGTCTGCATGCTCAGGATCTGTGGCCCATGCCTTTGTTCCTGGTCTGTCTCCTGTCCTCTTGGGACAAACCTCTTGGGAGGATCCCTGCTGGGGGACAGAGGAGGACAGGGGACTGCTGGGGACCCCACCCTGGCCCCTGCTGATGCCACTGGTTTGCTGGAGATGCCAAGCTCCCTCCAGTCCCCCGGCTCCCTGAAGACGCAGGTCCAGCGCATCTCAGGACATGTGGAACTGCGGGCTGCTGCGGGGAAGGGCCCCACCAGGGCACCGCGGAGGCCACCTCCCCCTTCCCGTCAACCAGGTGTGTGCGTGTCGGGGGTGCCATGACATAGAAGTGTCCGGCTACGTGTGGGTGTGTTACTTTTCAAACGAAGCCAACCGTGTGTGTGCGTCACTCCCGCACGGCCTGCACATGTCTGCGTGCCCATGCCCGAGATGAGCCCCGCTCCCAGGTCCGACCCGCACTGGGGAGGAGGACAAGAGGCAGACGAGCCTGCAGAGACAGCAGAACCCATCCAGGATCCCCAGGGCAAGCGCCCAGTGGCAGGTGCCGGTAGCCCATCACCCACTCAGCACTTTGCAAAGACTGGGTGGAAGGAGTCTGGCTGCCACTCCCTTCGCAGGCAGGGCTGCCACTCCCTTCGCGGGCAGGGCGCCCGCTCCTCCTATCGAGCACATGGAAAGGACACAAGGCAGCCGCATCACACGCTGAGAAGACTTTATTAACCGCCCCTTGTCTGCCACACACAAGAGGTCAGAGGGGCCCGGGCCCCAATGCATAGCAAGGATCTTCCTTTTGGAACCGGACAGTCCGGCACCCAAACCTGGGGGCAGAGAAACGTCCGTCGGATGTGCACACCAGGCCCCGAGCCGCCCCCTCCCCAGCCTGGGCCCGACCCAGAAACCCCCCCTCACCTCCCTGAACCAGGAGCCAGAGAGGAGCACACCTGCTTAGAGAGAAGGGTACACGAGCAACCTCCGTGGGGCATGTCCGTGCGCAGGCCACACCCCAGGGTCCGCTTCCTCAGGCACGAGGCAGCGGCACGTGCGCACAGCGTGGAGGCTGGCTGTGAACACAAGTGACGTGAGCACACAGCCAGGGACTAAATGCTGGTTGCACTGAGAGGCGGAAGGGGACTGAACCCGGAACCCCTCCTGACCCCACAGTGGGCGGAGGTCTCTGTGACGGCACATGGCAGCAGCCTGACCTTCCCAAGCCAATACCCCACTTACCCAGCAGGGTCCCGGGGAAACGGCGGCAGGTCGGCTGCACCACAGAGCCGCGGCTGCAGGAGTCCAGATACGAGACCACCGCTGGCCAAAACCCGTGTCGTGAGCTTGAAGCCAATGAGCCCTCCTGGGCCTCCACCGCCTGACCCAGGAGATGGGATGGGCTCGCGGAAATGAGCGGCCACAGGCCTCCGGAGCTTACTTACTGCCGCGGATCCCAGATCAGCCCCGCCGACACGGACCGGGCCACCTCCTGGCGCTCTCCGCTGGCACCTGGGCACTCCAGCCGCTGGAGTAGTGGGGAAGGGCAGACGCCACGTGTCCTGTGCTGGGACGGGGACCCAGAGCAGAGCCTGCTGGGGTGGGGGAGCTGCCAGTCAGAAGCGGGGATGGGTCTGACATCACCCCTGGCCCTCTGCCCCCCCGCTAGCAAGGTAGCCCCCCAGTTGCAGGGATGCTGGCAGGACACATGAAGCTCTCTGATTAGACACAAAGACAGCCGGTTCTTCCCACAGCGCGACACAGGGGAGCCAGGGGGGAGCCAGCGCATGCGGTGGCCGCGTGGGACAGGCAGGCCAGACCTGCCCCAGCAGAGAGCAGGCCCGCTCTGGAGGGAGGCACTACCTGGTCCGCCCTAAGGCCGTCTGCTGCTCCAGCATCCTTAAGAGGCCGAGGTTCAGCCAGCGCCCGGCTCCCAGGACCACAGAGCCAGGAGCCTCAGGGAGCGGCTCCCCAGTGCCGCCCGCAGGCCGCGGTGTTCAGCGTCTGCGCCTGGACCGGAGAGGCAGACCCCACGTTTGCCAGAAGCCTCCACATCTGAGGGAGATGTGGTGTGACCCGCCACCCAGAGGAGCCCCGGAGCTACGCTGCCCTGCCGGGAGCGTCCTGGCCCATCCCCGACCGGCAACACTTGCTCCCACCCAGGCAGGGCCCCCAGGGAATCTCCCGCCCACCTACGCTTCCCACCCCCTTCCGGATGCCCGGCTCCCTCCGGGGCTGGCATCGGGGAAGGTGGCCTGCGGCGGCCGACAGAGCGACCCTGGGCCCCTGCTCTACACTGGACCCGAGACCACCTCACAGTGGTGCTCAAAGGTCTGGGCTGGGCGGAGAATGAAGGCTGAAGAGTGGACTCGGCAGGGGTGCTCGCTCGCTCTCCGGAGGACCCCCGCCGCAGCCCTGCAAGAAACCGAACTTCACCACCGACGCAGCTTCCTGCGACCGGCCCGGACCCGCGCGCCTGTCTGAAATTTCTATAACCTCGCTCTGGACGGAGCAGGGCAAGGCCTCAAACCGTTTCAGGATGCTCTGGCAAGCGCTGCAGGAATGCACAGGGTCACCGCAGACCCAAGCACGCTGGAGGCTTGCGGCCCGCACGACCCCGGGCACACAGCGCGCGGTGCCCTCCGTGCCGGGGGCTGAGCCGAGGAGGGGTCGGCGGGGCAGGATCGGGGCTCTGTGCGCTCCTCCGGGGGGTGGCGGAGGGCGCGCGGGCGGAGGGCACGGGGTTCGCTGGCTGGGGCAGCGCGGGACCGGACCCCCGGTCGGGGAGCGCTAGCGAGCGGACCGGACGGGAGCAGCGGCCTTCCGCGGGGCCCCGGCGACCCCGACACCCCGGGACAGAAACCCCTCAAGTCGCAAGCCCACGGGGCACCCGCACGCCCAGCATTACCCAGAGCGGCCTCTCCCCGCAGTCCTCCCGGCGTGGAGGCCGCCGCTCCGCTTGCACTCCGCAGCGCAGGCCGAGCGGGTTCCGCAAGGGCCTCCCGCGACAGCCAGGGACCGGACACCCCCGCGAGAGGGGACAGGCGTTCCGCCCACGCCACGCTCGGCAGCCGCGCGACCCCATTCCCTCGGAGGTTCGGCCGGCGCCCCACCGCTGCCCGCCCTCCGGCCGGACCTCATCCGGCTTCAGTCGGGAGCGTGCGCCGCCTGGAGCCACCGGCGGCCTCGGATGGCCTCGGATGCCCGCGTATCCCTGAAGTTGGCCGCTGCTGGAGACACATGGCGCCGGCGCGTACACCCGCGCGCTGCGTCATCGCGCAGCCGCCGGAAGCCGGAAGCAGTGACGTCAGGCGGGGCGCGGGTGCTGCCGCGGGCGGAAGTCCCTTAACGGCTGCAGCGGGCTGGGTTTGAGAGCGGAATGCCGCACCCTCCGGCTTCACATCGGGGCGTACGTCGCCCGGGTCGCCGCTGCACTGCCCTCTGCGGTCCAGTGCGAGGCCCGGGAGGCTCCGCTGGCGCCCGGTGTCCCGACGAGTTAAGGCCCCCCCCCCCGCCCGCCGTGGGGCTGGGTCCGCCGAGCCGCGCAGGACGGCGAGGTCGCGCTCTGCCCTCGCATCCCTTCAGCGGGTTGCCCGGGATGCGCGCCATTTTCTGGTTTAATGAAAGTATCTTATCTTCTGCCTCTGTGGAGAGGTCCTCTGGGTCGGGAGGAGATTTGGGTCTTAACTGGATCCCCACCCCCACCCCCACCTGCCGAGGAGGGCGCCAGGGAAGGTGCGGGTTGTTGGAGACAGAGCGAAGCATGGCAGGGGGGCAGGTGTTCTCCGAGAGGGGTGGCAAGGGCTACACACGCCAGGCTCTTGAACATCAGGCCAGGAAGGCGAGGACTTGCTCTGTAGGTAAAGAAGCCGAGCAGTGCTTGAAGCTCGTTTTGCGCCTGCTAAATTCATCCATGCATCCTAATATACAAATTCCATTACGTATTTTACTAAATCTCTCTAGACCCGGCAGGAATATTCCCTCCGGATTGCTACCAGGAGAATAACATTCAGCCAGAGGTTACCTAGGACTAGTTAGGCGCCAGGACTTGGAGCAGGTTGTTTGCCTTCCAACACTTTGCCATGATATGAAGAGAACCGGGAAGGCACATGGCCGTGGATATGGAGGGGCAGGGTGTAGCTGTGACGGTCTACATGTGTGACCCAAAAGTTGGGCTCCCTGAGGACTGAAAGAGAAGAGCTTGTTTTTAAAATGGTGATAAAATTCATTGGAGATGGTTAGATGCTCCATGGAAATCCCCCCCCCACAAGTAATAAGGGAGCCAAAATATTAAAAACCACATAATCAAAGCTCAGTTGCATAGTACAGGGAGGCTGCATGAGACTGACAGAGAGACCTCTCAGCAGTTCTCAACCACCAGGCTGTCGGAAAGAACTTTCTCCAGACCCACATCTCAAAAGAATAACTCCATTATTCTTCCAAGTCAACTGGGATGTCTGCCTGAAGAGAATATTAGCAATTTGGCTCTGGAAGGATACACAGAGAATTAGAGCCAAGGAGACGCCAAAGTACAGCTCACGGGGTCTCCCCCAGGAGGCTACAGAGCATGGTTGTGCTTCTGGGGTTTGGTTGTTCATCTTGTACAGGGCCTGAAACTCGAAGTTACAAAGTCATTGAGAATTCACCTGAAGTGATTGAAGGAATTATTTTCTTCACTAAGCAAGCCAACTGGTTGGATTTACCGTGGGCACAGCATGGTACGAAGTACTGCATGGCATGTGTCAAGATCAACCCAGAGACATCTAGTTAGTTATTTGTTGTTTTGTTCTCACGAGTGAGATAGTGGATGGGTGAGAGGGACAAGAAAGAAAACACTGAAGTCTTCCCAGCCTTGGGAACAGGGAAAAGATTCACTAAAACCAAACAACAGCCCCACACCAATTAATGGGAATCTGCCCAGGATGTGAGTCTGAGAAAACCATCTTTGAGCGGCCAGTTGAAGATAAATCTTCAGTTGTTCAGGGCTTTCTTGAAAACTCCAGTCTAGTGGGAAGGCATCTGTCTGAGACCTTGTCTGGGTAACCTCAGTGCCCTCCCGTCTTAGTCTCAAGTGCCTATCATTTGTCTTGCTAGAACTTCTCGGATGCAAAGAGGAATCCCACACGGTCTCTAAAGGACCTTACAGTCGAGTAGAGGAAATGTTCTATCATGGCTAACTCTAGCATCAGGACATGCAAATAAAGTGCTCTGGGGCTGAAGGAGGGAAGAATTGTATCCAGAGATTTAGTGGAAGAGGTGATACTTGAGCTGGGTGGGAAAAAACCCAACAGCTAGGTCCAACAGGGACAAACCAGGCATCCAACAAAGTGGTTTATTAGCCTGCTGTAAAGAGAGAACCCTAGAAAAATCTGGGTTGTGTCTCATTGTGAGAGTAGAAAGAAAATTTTGTAAGCTTTGGGATTGCACTGAATACTTTTTAAAAATTTTTTAAAAAAGATTTTATTTATTTGTCAGAGCACAAGCAGGGGAAGCAGCAGGCAGAGAGAGAAGTAGGCTTCCCGATGAGCAGGGAGCCTGATTTGGGACTTGATCCCAGCACTTGGGATCATGACCCAAGCCGAAGGCAGTTGGTGAACCAACTGAGCCCACCAGGCATCCCTGAATAACTTTTTTAAAGATTCTTTTATTTATTTATTTTTAAAATATTTTATTTATTCATTTGACAGATCGCAAGTAGGCAGAGAGGCAGGCAGAGAGAGAGGAAGAGAAGCAGGTTCCCTGCTGAGTAGAGAGCCCAATGTGGGGCTGGATCCCAGGACCCTGGGGATCATGACCTGAGCCGAAGGCAGAGGCTTAACCCACTGAGCCACCCAAGTGCCCCAAAGATTATTTTATTTTTAAAAAACATTTTATGGGGCGCCTGGGTGGCTCAGTGGGTTAAGCCTCTGCCTTCGGCTCAGGTCATGATCTCAGGGTCCTGGGATCGAGCCCCGCATTGGGATCGAGCCCCGCATCGGGCTCTCTGCTCATCGGGGAGCCTGCTTCCCCCCTCTCTTCTCTGCCTGCCTCTCTGCCTACTTGTGAGCTCCCTCTCTCTGTCAAATAAATAAAATATTAAAAAAAAAAACAAAACCATTTTATTTATTTGTCAGAGAGAGTGCACAAGGAGTGGGGGTGGTGTGTGGCAGGCAGAGCGAGAAGCAGGCTCCCCACTGAACGAGGAGTCCAATGTGGGACTTGATCTTAGGACCCTGGGAAGCCCAGGAGGCCAGTTGCTGGAATTCAGACCGCTGTGTCTAGTGATGGCCCGGGAAGCCATACAGCACCCCGGCACAATCCACGAGCCGGATGTGCCGGCACTCGGTTGATGCCCACTTTTGTTCCCTCTTCCAACTCAGGGCCAACCAGAGAAAACCGAACACAAGGGATGCCCAATGTCTGCTTAGCCCAGCTCCAGCTCCTTCAGCCCCATAGACCCCAGCAGGGCACCCCTGAATCCCCCTTTTTCCGCCATGAAGCTCTCTCCCCCACTGCCTGCCTTTGGGCCTCGGCCAGTCCAAGGGATGCACTGTCTCCATTAGAGCAGCCTCTGCACAAATAGCCTTTGCTTATTCTCATTTGGTTGGTGCTCATTATTTCCCCGATAGTATGGGGGTACAGAGAGTTTCTAGGCTGGCGAGCACGTGGAGGTGCTGGTTGAGCAGTACACCTTGAAGGGCCCGGAAGCTCCATGTGCCCTTCCCTACACCTTGCCCTTGGCATCTCTTCCATCTGGATGTTTCCCTGGACCCTTTATCATGTCCTTTTAGGATGACTGGTGATCAGTGAGTAGACGCTTCTCCTGAGTTCTGTGAGCCACTCTAGCAGGCTCATTGAACCCGAGGGAGGATCGTGGGAACCCCGATTCATAGCCAGTTAGTCAGAAGCACAGGTAACAACTTGGACTTGCTGTTGGCATCTGAAGTGCGTGTGTGGGTTCTTGTGGGACCGAGCCCTCAACCTGGGGTATCTGATGCCATATCTGGGTAGATGGTGCCAGAGTGAGTTCAAGTGTGGGACACCCAGCTGATGTCACAGAATTGCTTGGTGTGGGGAAAGCCCGCACACATCTGCTGTTGGAAGTGCTGAGGGCAGGGCGCCTGGGTGGCTCAGTCGTTTAAGCCTCTGTCTTTGGCTCAGGTCATTATCTCGGGGTTCTGAGATTGAGTCCTGCATCGGGCTCCTTGCTCTGCAGGAAGCCTGCTTCTCCCTCTCCCTGCTACTCCCCCTGTTGTGCGCTCTCCCTCTGTCAAATGAATAAGTAAGAATCCGCCCCCCCCCCAAAAAAAAGAAGTGTTGAGGACACTTCTTTTGAGTTGAGACGGAGGAGGAGAGTGGGTTTTTCCCAAAACACATGCTAAGGGGAGTAGTGTTCTTGGCGCATCACCACCTGAGTGGGAGACGGGCATGGTCAGGCCTCCGTGCAGCGGTGGGAGACTAGGTATCAGACGCACTGCCCCATTTGCGTGTGAACGAGCATAGAAGGTAGAGTGGAAGGTTTCACCTGCCACCGCTTTATGTGCCAAAGGGGCTGGAATGCCTTTGGGGCTGCTTGAGACTATCAAATAGGGTCCAATCAGGAGACAGAAACAGGGTACAGGAAAGGTTTAATGTAAAGAATCGTTAAGTATCATAGGGGATGAGGGTCACAAGGGATTGCCTAGTAAAAGGAAAGAAAATCCTGAAGATACAAGAAGCAGCTGCCACTCTGAAGGCTGAGAGAACGCTCCCAGGGAGGAAACCCCGTCACCCCCAGGGCTGAGATCCAGCTTCGTGGGAGAGAGCCTAGCCAGTTAACGGAGCCCGCCGAAGGTGGAGAAGCGCCGGCAGGACTTGCTGGGCGTCCCTCTAGAGTGCAGGGAAAGCTGCTCAGGGCGCGCGGCCTTGTGGACGTGAGGCAGGCGCTCGCTGCAGCTGGAAGGAGCTGGGCTCGGTGCGGGGAGGCGGGCGCCGAGGAGGCCTCGGACTCTGCAGGTGCCCGCCCAGGACCTCCCGGAGCCAGGCCGCAAAGCCCTTTCCTGCCGCGCCACCTCCCAGCGGCTCCGTTGGCTCAGCGCTGCGGGTGAGCGCTCCCAGGGCTGGGCTCCGTCCGGCGGAGCAGGAGCGAGTGCGCCCGAAGCCGGAGGTCACACGCTGCGCCCCGGCACAGGACCAGCGCTGCGCTGGAGAACGGAAGTCGAGACGAGGACCGGTCCGCCGTCCAGCTGCCCGCAGGCTCTTACCGGCAGCGCGGCTGGTGGCGACACCGTGGCCGCGGCCGCGGCCTCCTGC